TCTATCTATCTATCTATCTATCTATCTATCTATCTATCTATCTATCTGATCAACTTATCTATTTATCACATATCGGTATCTGTTATCATCTATCTGTATCTATCACCCAGTGAAACTTTTGTGCCTAAGGTGGAACTAGAACTCCTTGTCTCCTAATGAGCCTGGCCAATGCCCATAGTCACCCACTTCATGCCTGAGGCAGGACTAGAACTCACAACCTCCTGTTGATTGGCCCGTCAACCAGTCAGCTTTCATGCCTAAGGCGGGACTAGAATTCACAGCTTCCTGGTGACTAATCTAAAATTACCCTGCTGGTTTTCCTACCTAATGCGCGACTAGAACTCCCTCTCTCCTGGTTTCAAGCCTGGTGCTTTAACCGCTAGACCAAACTGGCTCTAAATACCGTTATTTATTCATTTCATTTTGCTTCCTTTTTTGTTTTTAGGTTCTACTGGGGCAGCCAATCCATCAATCCCTTTTTTCCAGGTTTGTGATCATTCCACATCAAGAGCACAAATCTCTCTCTATAAAGGCGAAATACCCCTCATGCATCATCACAAAATCTCCAGAACTCTAAAGCTTTCAAACTTGAAATTTGGCACCTGTGTTTCCTCTTGGCTTCTAGGGTGCTCGCTAAGAAAGGATTTCTTTGAAATGACCATCAGAGCATTAGCATTTCGTTTGTTGTATTATTATTATTATTATTATTATTATTATTATTATTATTATTATTATTATTATTATTATGCTCTGATGCTAAGGAGTTCTACTCCCCCTACACAAGTAGAGGAGTTTCAAGGAGTTTTAGTTTCACAGAAGCAACCAGCTTTAGTACAGAACAGCTGAGCTAAGCCACGCCCAGGCTCCTTGCTGCCTCCTCCTTGCTCACACAGTTTCAGTTTCCAAACAGCCCTCAACTGTCTCCCACGCTGACAGGACGCTAGCCAGACGAATACCGATGGATGCTGGTAGGCAGAATTACTTCCCCCTTATTTTCCTCTCCAAAAACTAAGCCTGACCACACGGTTTCGTAGCGAAGCACGGATGTCGAGCTACTACCTGATAATCTACAAGGAGTTCGGGCCCTTTGAAGTATCTGGAAGCCACTCGGACGTTATATTCCTGACCCGGATGGTAGAATTCAGCCAAACCCCAATCTATTAGCCTCAGCTGAAAAAGGAAGGAGAGAGATTAAAGATGGAAGGTGAAATATATTTATATATATTTTCCTTGGTTGGCAGCAACACTCGGGCAACTTTGCAACCCCTCTGCCTGAAGAGAATTTACAAAACCAGAAACCAATGGGGGAGAGAAACTCTATAGAAATCCAAAGGTAATTAATTATTTGAGACGGCTCGGAAATGAAACAGCCATGGTTCAAAAGAACCACTGAATTTTAGTCAGTCCTCGACGTACGGCTGCCATGGAGCCCAAACGTTTCTGTTTGGTGCTAAGCGAGACTGTTGTTACATGAATTTTACCCCATTTTACGACCTTCCTTGCCACGGTTGTTCAGTTGGTAAATTAGTACCCTGGCTGTGAAGTGAATCTGGGCTTCCCCACTGAATTTGAGGATCAGAAGGGTTGCAAAAGGGGATCCGGGGACCCCAGGGAGCTGCAACTGTCCTAAACGGTGCTGCAACCGGCGTAAATATGAACCATTTGCCAAGTCTTTAAATTATGATCGCGTGGGGAGGCTGCAACGGTCGTGAAGTAGGACCAAAAGTCCCTTTTGTTCAGTGCCGTTGTAACTTTTGAGTGGTCACTAATGGTCACTGTCTCCAAGGGATAGAAATCTTTCCCTTTCCTATCATCCAGTCAGAACTGAAGAAGCTTCTTGGATGAGAAGCGAAACTTTCTTCAGAAGGAAAAAAAAAATAAGAAGAAAGTCCAGTTTCCCTCCTGAAAAAAAAAAAAAGGCACCTTTAAGGACTGGATGACTGAGAATCTCTAGAGACTTTTAGTTATACAGTTTGGGATGGATCCCCTTGGAATGGTGTGCGAGTAGGAATGGATTTCCAGAGGGGGAAAAAATTGCAGACTATAGGAACCAGGTGATCCTGAGGACACAGATAAACAACCTCCAAGCGGGCTCAACGATCCTCTAAAAGGATGCAAATGACCAGCTGTCTGCAAGGAGTATAGATACTTCCTTTCCTGACCATCCTGTCGGAGCCGAAGAAGCTTCTTGGATGAGAAGCGAAACGTCTTCAAAGACAAAAAAACCAAGGATTATCCTGCTGCCTCGTGAAAAAGCACCTTTGGAGAATGGAGAATCTCTACAGAGGAATCAGCTTTTAGCAAGACCTGACCCACAATGCAAGTAGGGAAGAAACGTAGCAGCTCCCTGAAGGATAGAGAGGGAAGGACCACCCTCAAGGCCCAGCGGTCTCCTCACCTTTCGATGCTCGTGGTCGATCATGACGTTGTGAGGTTTGACGTCTCTGTGCATGATGCCCATACTGTGGCAATAATCCAGGGCCTGGAGAAGAGAGAGAGAGAGAGATACGCCCCAACATCAGAAAAAGGGGGGGGGTCGTATATGAAAGTCACATCACGCCCAAAGTGGAACAAATTATAGGGAGTCCCATTTTCCGAAGGGCCACAATTCAGTGTAGCTGCTTAGAAAATGGCGGCTGCTTAAGGGCAATGTATATAGTTAAAGGAAGAAAAAGGAATGTAATTGATATATATATATATATATATGGATCTTTGGTTGTTCGGGTTTTCTCCCGCGTAAGATTCGAAGTATCTAGGCAACGTTTCGATGAAGTCTCATTCATCATCTTCAGGCTTCTGTCTTCGGCTCTGTGCTTCTCGGAGTGATGAGACTTCATCAAAACGTTGCCTAGATACTTCGAATCTTACGCGGGAGAAAACCCGAACAACCAAAGATCCATATACAAACACCCGCGAAAACCTCAGAATATACATACATACATATATATGAGTAATATTGTTGCTGGGGCGCTGCAAAAACTGTAAAAGTGATATAAAATGATACGTTTAATAAAAAATATTTATAAAAAAGAAAATGGCGGCCACTTCGGAAGTCGCGACCTATCTTTCTTCCCTAAGCCGAGCTTTCAAAGTGTTGAGTGGCTGACGTGGGGGTGAGGGGACGGTGTTGGGGCACAGTGGGCGGGGATGCAGCCCAAGACCTGTGGGGACCCCGAAAGGTGGGAAGTAAAGCATGAGGTGGACGCTCTGTGAGGCGCAGGGTAGGGCCTGGAAGAACAAGGCAAAACCTTAAAACCAGGATTTCTCAACTTTTAACCCTGCAGACTTCAACTCCCAGAATCCCTCAGCCAGCGTGGGGAATTCTGGGAATTTGAAGTCCGCCCATTTTAGACACGTGCAGGTTGAGAAACGTTTTCTTAAGCAATTCTCATTCAAGGTAGAAAGGGGAGATTGTCGAGGAATGGCAAATCTTAAAGAGGAAGCAATCTTACTAACTCTCAGATGCTATTATAGGTTACAATGCTATTAAAATAGTGGGGGAGGGGAGGAAGGAGAAAGAAAACAGAGAAGGCGGGCAGCAGAGAACAAGAGGGGAGGGGAAAGGAGAGAACGGAAAATAAAAAGAAAAGGAAAGAAAATGAAGGGTAAGAAAGGGAAAAGGAGGAGAAAGGGAAAGGAAGAAAAAAGAAGGGGAAAGGAAGGGAATGGGAAGGAAGATAAAAGAGGAAAGGAAAGAAAGAGCGAGAAAGGTAAAAGAAAGGGAGAGGGAAGGGAAGAAAAGAGGAAGGGAAGGAAAGGAGGAAGGGGGCACTTCTGAAGTGAGAGACATCTGATTCATCTATCCTGGTCTGTCTTAACCCAAAGAAACTTGTTCAACGCCTCGGCGAAAGAAGAAAGACATTATCCCGCTTCAAAATGGCCGGCCTCTTCTTTCGCCAAACGCCATTTCCGGGCCATCTCAAAAGACTTTGAGGCAGGAAGGCAACTCACCTTCAAGATTTCATACATGTAGAACCGAATGTCATAGTCCGTTAACGTCTGGTATAATTGCTGTGGGAAAGGAACAAACGAAGGTGAATAAAGCAGCAACCTTCCCATGTCTAACCCAACAAGGAAGTTACTACGCACAATCTCACTGCAATCCCAAGATGCTATTCTAGGTGGCATAAAAATGTAGAGTTAAAAACGTTCGCTGAACTGGTCATTGGCCTAATTTAATTTTTTTCCTGCGTCGATTCCTGTAGCTGAGGACTTTTTTTTTCACCTGTTTTCAGAGGTGGGGGCTGTAATGCACATATAACTGACACCATCCCCCAGGCCAAAGCCCCCCCCCCACCCACATTAACAAAAGGGGGATGCAAATCAGAGGCTCCGTTAATCTTTTCCACTAAGCTGCCACCTAGTGGCTGAGTGCAGTGCCTACAAAGCAAAAAAGATAGATGGCCTCTACGGAACCCCCAAAGTAAACCCTCACTGACTTGGGAGTGTCCTGCCTTGGGAAATTTCAGTGTTCGGGTCCTACACCGCAAGAAGTTTGGAGCACAAATGCTAAAGAGGAAGGAGTTGGGAACATGTGTGTCAATCATTACTTCGTTGTTTGTTGTGAACCGGCAAATATTTTCACAGGCCAGAGGGAAGAAACTAATGAAATAAAATAGAAGCTAATGAAAGAGACTCTTTGCAGCTCAGGGTTGAACTGGGGGCCCCCTGGGGCAGGTGTTTCATTACCCAATTAGATGGCATCTTGTACTAGAAGGGAGTGGGGTGGAGGAGGAGGAGGAGGAGGAGGAGGAGAAGGAGGCCGCCTTGTGGGGTCCTTGGTGCTCTCTGAGTTTAGCTGTTTTCTTGCAGACCTTTCATTACCCAACTAGGGAACTTCATCAGTGCTAGAAGGGAGTGGGGTTTGTTAGATATATTATTATATATTAGAATGTGCTGAGGTGGATAGATTTAACATTTAAAAGAAAATAAAAGGAAGAAGCAGAATTCTTTTTAACTTGGGACTTGTTTTACCAATGGCTAAACTAATAGAAACAGGTTAGAAACGAAAAAGATAATAAAAGGTTTTTGTGTTGAAAATTTTGCAAGATGGATACACTAATTGTACTATTACTTTCTGATTAATATTGACATTTGTTTGTTTGTACAAGATAACAAGTATGAACATAAACAAGAACAAAGGAAGTAAATACACATGAATGGGGACAGTAGGACAGGGACGGTAGGCACGCTGGGGCGCTTGCGCATGCCCCCTTTAAGGACCTCTTGGGAATGGGGTGAGGTAGACAGTTCGAGGTTGAAGCTTTGAGGGGTATTTATTATGATTATGACTATTGTTGTACTTTTACTTAAAACTAACTGCGCCCAGACAGCACGCTGTTCAGATAGATGTGGTGTCAAGAGTATATTCATGAATTGGAATAGACCATGGTAACAAGGTCAGCCAACGAATAGGCACAGTAACTAAATCAGCCAATGAGGACAGTCTGGAAACTGAAACTAGAAGTAGCCTAGGCTGGAAACTGAAACTAGACATAGTCCAGGCGTGGCTCCATATTAAGCTCTGCAACTCTGCAGCTATGTTGAGCTCTGTGTCTGTCTATTGAAAATGAAACTAACTTGCTTGCTTACTTGCTCAAAGACCGGAGCTCTGCTCCGAACTTGCAACGTGTTTCTGTCTTGAGTTTGCTCCCTCTTGGGAGAAATCTACAACTGGTTTGTAAAATCTACTTATTCAGTTTATAAAGATGTTAAAGGAAGCATCAGCCATCTGGGTTTTATTGTTCCGGCGCTGAATTGTCGCTGCAAAACTCCGAACGCGCGAAAACTTTTTTAGGTTTATTTTTCTTAAACATAAAATCAATAAAACATTTTTTTTTAAAAAAAAAAAAGCACTAATGCGCTTCCAGGTTCATCATCACTTTGCTTCCATGTCCCCATCAAGGCTTGCTTTCCTACCTCACCCCCTACCCGACAAAAGCCAAGAAATTAAAATAACGCTGCGCTCTCCGACGGATGGGAAAACGTACCTTAAAATCTGTGTTGTTCACATGCTCAAACACCAACGCAGGGGTACGTGACTAGGAGAGGGAAGGAAGAGAGAAGGTCAAGTCACCTGGGGTTCTTCCAATGCATGATTTATTAGGCCACTTTAAAGGCTGCTCAGAGGCTGGATTGCTGGCCGACATTTCCAGAATCCAGGAAAAGCTTACAGGGAGAAGGCTGCATTTTGCAGAAAGCCGAATTAATTCTAAGGCCTGATAGGATCAAACTATTCAGAACAGGCCTTTTTTTTTTTTTTTTTTGAGGGTGGGGGGAGAGAACCAGAGGTGAAAACAGGAAATAAAATGTCACTTTTACCATTTTAGAATCCAATGCCTGAAATGCTGAGCTACCTGATGATGATACGGTCCTTGGAGGTTCTGTAATTAGGTTATTATTTGAAAATGACAAAGGCAACAGGTGTTGGTAAGCAGTTTTGCCCATCCTAGCCAGACCCGGCTTAAAATGTGCTTTTTCTGCCTAATCAGGTGACAGGAGGTCTTGTCTGAAACTTGCGAGCTGGACTCGGTGCCTCTGATGAACTAGATCCCGGATTTATTAAATTTATAGGCCGTCCATCTCAGCATCGAGACTCCGGAGAGATAACAACAGTACAAAGAGAACAAAAGATACTGCCCAGAATCCCTCTGTGAGGGAGATGGTCAATTTTAAAATGTGACACACAGACAGACAGTTATACGTACGGATGGATGGATGTAGACAGACAGAAAGATGGATAGATATATAGACAGACAGATATAGACAGATACAAATACATGACAGAAACACAGACAGATGATAAATATAAATGGATAAGAAATAGACAGACAGACAGACAGACAGACAGACAGACAGACAGATAGATAGATAGATAGATAGATAGATAGATAGATAGATAGATAGATAGATAGATAGATAGATAGATTTGATGATAAATAGGTAGATGATAAATAGACAAGATAGACAGAGAAAGAGGTAAGACAGATAGATATAGATACCGTAGAGATAAGATAGAAAAATAAAAATAGAGATAGATAACAGATAATCAGAGTTGGAAGAGACCTTGTAGGTCATCTAGTCCAACCTCCTGCCCAACAAGGAGACCCTATACCACTTCTGACAGATGGGAGTCCAATCTCTTCTTGAAAGTCTCAAGTGATGAGATAGGATAGACAGACAGACAGATATAGATAGATGATCAGACACAGAGAGATATGTAGGCTGACGATATAACAGATAACAGATTAACAGAGTTGGAAGGGACCTGGTGGGTCATCTAGTCCAACCCCCAACCCAAACAAGAGACCCTACACCATTTGTGACAAATGGCAGTCCAGTCTCTTCTTGAAAGTCTCTAGAGATGAAGCTCCCACAACTTCTGAGGGCAGCTTCTGTTCCATGGGTTGATTGTTCTGTCAGAAAGTTTCTCCTTATTTCTAGTCATTGTGTCATTGTATAGAATGACAGATGGATACAGGTAGACAGACGGATATAGATAAGAGAGGGGGATACCAATATTATTCCCTTTATCTTTTTATACCTAAAATTAAATTAAATTAAAAAAACCCAACCCCTTTGGACCCTGAATTCCCTCAGCCCACCTACTTGCCACCCATCAAAATAACTCACCACTGGATCCTTTACTATATCGGCAAGGGTGATGATGTTGGGGCCGCCTCGCAAGTTCTCCAGGATTTTGATTTCTCGTTTAATTTTCTTCTTTTTCACCGGCTGACCAAAGGAAAACAATCGGTTAGCTGGGACAGCCAAAGCTCCGGAGGGAGAGGGGGGGAAAAATCCCCACTGTAGCTGCAACCAGCATTTATTGATTATGTTTACTGAATATATTTGGGTTACCCCCCCCCCCAAAAAAAAAACAACCAAGGTTGCATTTAATTTCGCAGCAGAAAAGTGGCAACTGCAGCGTGGGAGTTTGTGGAAGCAAATATTGTCTTTTCAAAAAGATGTATGTAAATTCAGAGGAGAGATGAACAAGAATCTGTAGACAAGCATTAATAGAAGAGACTTATTTGTAGTTTAGGCTTAAACTGGGGTCCTTGGTGTTCTCAGAGCAGAGTTCTTTTCTTTCAGATGTCTCATGACCCAACTAGAGAACATTATCAATGAAAGGGGATTTGTGGAGAGGAGGAGGAGGAGGAGGAGGAGGAGGAGGAGGAGGAGAGGAGGAGGAGGAGGAGGAGGCAAAATGATGACTGTGGGGTCCTTGTTGCTCTCTGAGCATAATTGTTTTCTTGCAGACGTTTCATGATCCAACTAGGGAACATTATCAGTGCTAGAAATAGTGGGGTCTGTGGAGAGGAGGAGGAAGGGGAGGAAGGCAGGAGAGAAAAGGATGGGAGGGAGGGAGGAGGAGGAGAACTGTGGGGTCCTTGTTGCTTTCTGAGCTTAATTTTTTTCTTGCAAGCGTTTCAAGATCCAACTAGGGAACATTATCAGTGCTAGAAAAAGTGGGGTTTGTGGAGAGGAGGAGGAGGGGAGGAAGGGGAGGAGGAGGAGGTTGCAGGCTCCTTGGTGCTTTTGTCAGCGTCTGAGATTGGTATTTTTCTTGTAGACGTTTCATGGCCCAACTAGGGAATACCATCAGTGCAACAGGAGTGGAGTTTTGCTCTCTGTTTACATGTAAGTGGCTTGCTCTGTTCGTTTTGGCAGGACAACCAAGGAACTAGCAGCTCGGACCAACAAGCTAAACAGCAAATCACAGCCCAATCAAAGAACCGCCAAGAACATTCCTACCAACGCGGACAAGGACAATCTTTGTGTATAAACTGAGAGCAACCCCCACTCCCTTCTAGCCCCGAAGACGTTACCTAGTTGGGTCATGAAATGTCTGCAAGAAAACAACCAAACAGAGAGCACCAAGGACCCCAGTCCTCCTCCTCTTCCTCCCTGCCTTCTAGCACTGATGACGTTGTCCAGTTTGGTAATGAAAGATATGCAAGAAGACAATGGACCTCAGAGAGCAGCAAGGACCCCAAACTCTTCCTCCTCCTCCCTCTGCAAACACCCCCTATCTTCTAGCACTGACAATGTTACCTAGCTGGGTCATGAAACGTCTGCAAGAAAACAACCAAGCTGAGAGAGCACCAAGGACCCCACAATCCTTCCTCTGCGAACCCCACTCACTTCTAGCCCTGATATTATTTAGGCGAGTCATGAAAAACGTCTGCAAAAAAATTAAAACCAAGCTCAGAAAGCACTTCTGACACGACCATCCATCAAACATGCACCAAGGAGAATTTCCAATGCTCAGCTTCAATTAATTCTGAAACGAATAACCCAAGAATTATCAGTAAAGTAATTCAGGAAGTCGACTTTGGGCAACTCTTTGAGTCTCCTTCACTCAAAAACAGTACTTCCCATGGTAACAGAATAGTGAAATGAGTGGAAATTCAAAAAAAAAAAAACAGGTTTGCAAGATTCTGGAAGTCTTTGTTATTTTGAGAGAAAAACAAGAAAAAAAAACCCCCCACTGGTCCTGCAACCCTCGCTGAGCTCTTTGGAACTGGGCCCTTAGGAGTTAATTATCCCAGAATCCCTAATTAATGAAGTCAATGATTTGGAAAACAAGGTCACAACCCAAAGATCTGTTTTCTTCTGTGCAAAGGTGATATGGGAACCGCTCCCTAGATTTCCTTCCCAGTAGAACAGACCATTGTAACTCTTTAAAAAAACAAAACAAAACTCGCATATGCAAATATTTAAGTTATATAAAAGAACGAAATAACACAGCTGGAAGGGACCTTGGAGGTCTTCTAGTCCAACCCCCTGCTCGGGAAGGAAACCCTATATAGCATTTTAGACAAATGATGGTCCAAAATCTTCTTAAAAACTCCCAGGGTTGGGAGCACCCGCAACTTCTGAAGGGAAGGTGTTCCAATGATTAGTTGTCTTCGCTATCAGGAAGTTTCTCCAGGTTTGCTCCTCTCCTGGATTAAGTTTCCATCCGTTGCTTCTTGTCCTGCCTTCAGATGCTTTGGAGCAGCGGTTGCCAACCCGGTGGGCCGTGAGAAAATTTGGGTGGGTCGCAGAGAAATCTCACCCCCAGAGCACCCTCCCCAAAGCAATTAATCCAGGCTGCGCAGAAACACAAGGCTGCTCCGCCCACATGGCCCCCGGGAACCCTCCCCGCTCGCTCACTCCTTACCCGGCAAACCTGCCTGCTAAGTTGCTATTTTTCCTTTTTCTGACCATCATCTGTTCTGCTGTGCCGGGAGATTTAGATTAGCTAGGAAGCAGGAAATGGTTGGAATTTCTTGTTTTCTAGCTAGTCTTTAGATCTTCCGCTCAGCACAGCCGAACCTCCCTTAGGACTGAAGGTTTGCTTGCAAGCAGACTCGCGGCAAGCAAATTTGAGAGACTGAGCTAGCCGATGGCAGATAGATAGATCACTGAATGATTCTGTGAGCAACTCAAATCTGCCTGCTTTGCCTGATTTTTGGATAAAAGTTGCTCTTTTTTATAAAAAAAATTAATATTTACATACATGGTGTATTGTGAGTTAATTTTGTGAGTTTGCTTGCAAGCAAATTTTATGAGTTTGCTTGCAAGCAAATGTTATGTGACAGACTGAGCTAGCTGATGGCAGATAGATAGATCTCTGAATGAATCTGTGATTCTGTGAGCAACTCAATCTGCTTGCTTTGCCTGATTTTGGGTAAAAGTTGCTCTTTTTTATAAAAAAATCAATATTTATATAAATATTTATATTTGCATACAAGCCATGTCCAGCCAGTCACATGACCACCGAGCCACACCCACAAATTAGGCCACACTCACAGAACCAGTTAGTGGTCCCTGGGATCTAAAATTATGAGTTTGGTGGTCCCTGAGGTCCAAAAGGTTGGCGACCCCTGCTTTGGAGAATAGGTTGATTCCTTCTTTGTGGCACCACTCAAATATAGGAAGATTGCTATCATGTCACATCTAGTTCTTCTTTTATCTAGACTGGCCATACCCAGTACCTGCAAACGTTTATCTTATGATTTAGTCTCCAGGCCCTTAACCATCTTAGTTGCTCTTCTCTGCACTCTTTCTGGAGCCCTTTCCGGAATATGGATTCACGTCACAGGAATATGAAGTTTTCAGCTAATCAAAAAGGCAAATATAAAACCTTCTTCCCAGCAGCTCTTAAACGTGGAAGGAAAAGTAGGCCAGACGCTCTTGTTATGTCATCTCCCTGAGCGTAGGCAAAAATAAATAATTAAATAAAACACTTCATGCTGCACTGGTAAGGCCACACTTGGAATAATGCATCCAGTTTTGGCCACCACGATACAAAACAAAGACGCTGAGACTCTGGGAAGAGCGCAGAGAAGAGCAACGAAGATGATGAAGGGACTGGAGGCTAAAACATACGAAGAACGGCTGCGGGAACTGGGTGTGTCTAGTTTAATGAACAGAAGGTCTAGGGGCGACACGGTAGTGGTGTCCCAATATCTCAGGGGCTGCCCCAAAGAAGAGGGAGTCAAGCTATTCTCCAAAGCACCGGAAGGCAGGTAAGAAACAACGGATGGAAACTAATCAAGGAGAGAAGCAACCTGGAACTAAGGAGAAATTTTCTTAACAGTGAGGACAATTAACCAGTGGAGCAGAAGTTGCCTCCAGAAGTTGTGGGTGCTCCAACACTGGAGGTTTTCAAGAAGAGACAAGACAACCAGTTAACCAGGATGGTATAAGATCTCACCCAAGATCATCCTAAGATGGCATGCATATCTCTGTTTCGCTGCTGTTCACCTCCGTAACATTTTTATCTTTTATTTTTAAAGGTCCCATTCTTAAAATATTGACACAGTAATTAACAGTAAAAGAGCTGCCCAGAATCATCTTACAAGCGTAATAAATAAATCCTTTTTCATGCTGTGTTCTCAGTGCTCTCTGAGCCAGCTGGTTTTCTTGCACACAACAGCGTTGATGAGGTTTCCTAGTTTGGTAATAAAAGGTCTGCAAGAAATCAGGCGCAGGGAACACTAAGAACCCCACAGTCGTCCTCCTCCTCCCCAACCACACTCCCTTCTAGCACTGATGATGTCATCTAGTTGGGTCATTAAACGCCTACAAGGAAACCACCCAGCTCAGAAGGCTCCATGGACCCCAATGTTCTCCTCCTCCTCTTCCTCCACCGCCCTACTTCCTTCCAGCACTGATAATGTTACCTCATTGGGTAATGAAATATCTGCAAACCTCACTCCCTTCTAGCACTGATGATGTTATCTAGTTGGGTCACGAAAAGTCTGCAAGAAAGCAACCAAGCTCAGAGAGCACCAAGGACCCCACAGTCATGGTCCTCCTCCTCCTTCCTCTTTTTCGTCCTTCTCCTTCTCCCTTCTAGCACTGATGGTGATACCTAGTTTGGTTATGAAATGTCTATAAGAAACCAAGAAAACTCAGAGAGCACCAAGGACCCCATTGTCCTTCTCCTCCTCTCCTCCCCCCCCCACCACTTCCTGTCTCTCTCCCTCTTCTCCTTTCCTCCTCCTCCTCTCTTCTAGCACCGATGTTATCTAGTTGGGTTGCAAAACGTCTGCAAGAAAACCACTGAACTCAGAGAGAACCAAGGACCCTTCAGTTCAACCCTGGGCTACAAATATTCTCTTCTATTGATAATTTTATTTTTACTGTAGACATTTACCCCAGAACACAACAGGGACAGACCAATTAACGAAGCGGTCAACTGGCATACGATCTCCTGTGTGATTCTAATGACAAGACATAAAAATTTGACCGAAATTAACTATAAGGGGCATTTTATATATATAAAAAAATATCTCTCTGCACAGCAGCCTCACCTTCAGAATTTTAACGACTACTTTTTCATTATTTGTGATGTTGATGGCTTCGAAGACTTCGCTGTATTTGCCCCGGCCTAACTTTCGAACTAGCTGATAATCGTCTTGATTCCTATAATGACAAAAGACCAAAAGAAAAAAGGAAAAAAAAGGAGCATGATGCAAGGGAAAAGAATTAAATGATTCACCAACCAAAAGCATTCTCGTGTTCAAAGAAATCACTCAGTGTAGAAGAACTGTTAAAGTCTGCAGTAGGGAAAAAAAATCAGGATTCTGGTAGCATTTTTTTTCTGACTAAGACATCTTGCCTCAACTTTCAAAGATAACTGGACTTTTAAATTTTTATTTAAGATGTTTTGTTTCTCATCCAAGAAACTTCAGTTCTCCTGGTAATTGGCCAGTCTTGTTTTTCCCCCTAAGGCAGGACTAGAACTCACCGTCTCCTGGTGATTGGCCCAAAGTCACCCAGCCTGCTTTTGTGCTGCAAGCAGAACTAGAACTCACAGCCTCCTAGTGATTGCCCCAGAGTCATCCAGCAGGACTAGAACTCATCATCTCCTGGCGCCTGGCCCAAAGTTACCTAGCCAGCTTTCATGATGAAGGCGGAACTAGAACTCCTGGTGAGTGGTCCAGAATTACCCAGCTGACTTTGTTTTTTTTTTAAGACAAGACTAGAATTCAGGGTCTTTGGGGGATTGGTGTAACGTCATCCAAGCCAGTTTTTATGCCTAAAGCGGGATTAGAACTCAATGGTCCAATTTTTAGCCTGGTCCCTTAACCACCAGACCTTCCTATGTATTCTTCCCACTGTCAAAATTTAGACCAAAAAGCTCCGGATTTTTATTTTTTTGTTTGTAGCAAGAGTTAACGTGCAGAGAGCACTCGTCCATCTAAACCAATTGCTGGCTAAAACCGGCAGAATATCTGCAATGGTTCACAGATTAACGCACGTAGAGTCCTTTGCCACTTGGGCAGGATGCAAATTTAATAGAATGCAGAATAAGAGAGTTGCAAGGGACCCTGGAGGTCTCCTAGTCCAACCCTCTGCGCGAGCTGGCTGTCCAATTTCTCCTTGAAAACCTCCAGTCACCCACAACTTCTGGAAGCAAGGAGTTCCACTGTTAATTGTTCTGTCAGGAAATTTCTCCTTCGTTTTAGAATTTTAATTCTCCCCTAAATTAGTTTCCATCCTATGCTTCTTGTCCCACTTTCAGGTGCCTTGGAGAATCAGTTGACCCCCCTCTTCTCACTGGCAGCCCCTCAAATATTGGAAGATGGCTATCATATCACCCGAGTCCTTCTCTTTGTTAGACTAGAGATTATATCCAGTTCCTGCAGCTATTCCTCTTTATGTTTTAGCCTCTAGTTCTCAAATTCTCTAAATAATTTTCAGGAATAACAGGATTAGGGCCTAAGAGTGTGGGAAACAAGGCCACCTTCAGCCATGGAAGCTGACTCAGAGATTTTAATAATCTCTCTGCCTAATTTCCTCCACACTGCAACGGGGACGCGATACAAAATAGAGGTGAGAGTGTTATATAGGTTGCTTTGAACTCCTCCTAGGAAGAGAAGATACACCTAACAGATAATGTGTCAATAAGGGCTCCCTTTTAATAGGGAGGAGAGGCAGTGAATCAAGCCTTCTTCTTTTTTTTAATTCTGCAGCAGCCACTAAATCATTCCCTGACCAATTTTATTTTCTTATTTACTGGCTTTGAAAAATCCCATCTTCTCCGCCGCATGCAGGGTTTTAGCCACGGAGGGAGGGATAAAGTATGCGATGGATCCTTTCAACTTTGGTGGGAAATGACACCAGCTGGATGATTTTGGGGCCAATCCCCAGGAGACGGCGAGTTCTAGTGCCGCCTTAGGCATGAAAGATGCCTGGGTGACTTTGGGCCAATCGCCAGGAGTCGGTGAGTTCTAGTCCCGCCTTAGGCATGAAAGCCAGCTGGGTGACTTTGGGCCAATCGCCAGGAGTCAGTGAGTTCTAGTCCCGCCTTAGGCATGAAAGCCAACTGGGTGACTTTGGGCCAATCGCCAGGAATCGGTGAGTTTTAGTCCCGCCTTAGGCATGAAAGCCAACTGGGTGACTTTGGGCCAATCGCCAGGAATCGGTGAGTTTTAGTCCCACCTTAGGCATGAAAGCCAACTGGGTGACTTTGGGCCAATCGCCAGGAGTCAGTGAGTTCTGGCCCCACCTGGCAGTGGAGTGTGGCGGCTCACATGGTTAGGGAAGGGGAAAAAGAGAAAAATGGAAGAAAACAGAAGAGAGAAGAGGAATGGGAGAAGAAAAGAGAAGATAGAAGAATGAGGAGAGGAGGAGGAGAGGAGATTATAAAATAGAGCAGAAAATAGAACAGGATAAGGATAAGAACAGAACAGAGTCCTTTCCACAGTTCCAAGAAGGCTCCACATCCATTTGCACCGCTCATATGACCCAGATGTCACAGACAAAACATCCAAGTGGCCTCAATGACTCTCTAAAAAGGATGCAAATGACCAGCTGTCTACAAGGAATATAAATCCTTCCAGCCTCCATCCTTCAGTCAGAACTGAAGAAGCATCTTGGTTGAGAAGCGAAACGCCTTCAAAAGAAAAAGCAGAAAGCCCAGTTGCCTCTGGAAGAAGGAAGGCGGAAAATAAAAGCACCTTTGGAAGCGGCGGGACCGGGGAGGGGGGGGGGGGAGAATCTCCATAGAACAGAACAGAATTTACAGAACAGGATAAAATCTCTCGTAAAAGTGTTACGAGAGCTTGGGAACCAAAAAGCCCAGGAGACCAGGACACTTACCCCCACTCCACCACGTGCGACTCGTAATCCCAGTACTCCCGTGGTCTGTGTGTATTTACATCTGTGTAAACTCTGGCCCTGCTCGGCACAGGCCCCGACATGTTGGACAGGCTGGCAGGTGGAGCTGGGCTACGGATCTGGCCTTCACGCCTCTTCCGGATTCCGGATCGATCCCAGGATTGCCTCAGATGGGAATCTGGATGTTTGTTTTTCCCTTCACTGCAAAGACAAAAAAAATGCAAGGATGCTGAAGAGAGGAACCGACGCTTCGAGGTAGGTGACAAAACAGTTCCACGTTTGGACTGAAACTTAAGTTTTAAATATCAAGGAGGTTAAAGGTTTAACCTTTCATTAGAGGCTTTTTTATTTAAAAGGAGAGTTTTCTTCTGTTTAGAAGGTAGTGCAACATTTCTGCCACTTAAGAGCAGGGGTGTCCAACCTTGGCAATTTTAAGACCTGAGGACTTCAGCTCCCAGAATTCCCCAGCATGGCTGAGGAATTCTGGGAGATGAAGTTCACAAGTCTTTAAAAGTTGCCAAATTTGGACACCCCCGGTTTAGAGAAAGCAAGAAGTCTACTGCTCCGTCTCCTCCATGTCATGCACCACAGAGCAGATCGCTAGTACATAAACAAAGTCACGAGTTAGTATTTCCACTTTTTATTAAATACCCTGGCCAGTCTAATTTGTTTTATCTTTGAAATGCTGCCGGTATTATTAGATCAACCCAATTCCACCTCTCTGTCTACAAAAGTA